TGGGAAACATTGAAATATGTAGCAGTAACATTTAAAAATACAGCATGCAACTTGACCATAACAAATCAGTTTCAGTGTATTAGGTTTAAAAGTATATAGGCCATACACCATAAAAGTTAACAAAATCAAAAGCATAACAAATCAATCACAACCGTAAAAGGTCAATGGGATAGGCATGGTTTGGAACTTCTATCGATACCATGTAAGATAACATTGGTAGCCAAACTGGCAGAAAAATTAGAATTAAAATCAGAAGAAACGTTCTAGTGATTATAAGAGATTTTTTCCATAACATAAAATCTCCAGATGGTGGTGAAACAAACTTGAGTTGAAAGGAATATTGTTAATGGGGGGGGAGTATTGTTTTAATTTTATATACCATGTTGGTTTTGTACATTACTGATTCGTGATTTACCAGCTGCATTGTACTTTTGTTACTGTTGCTTTTATTTTTTGTGCTGTTACTGCTGCTCGTTTTATATTGTAGGTTTCATTGATTTTTAGAATCAGGTGGGTAGCCGTGTTGGTCTGAAGCAGCAGAACAAAGTTTGAGTCCAGTCGCACCTTTCAAGACCAACAAAGTTTTATTCAAAGTATGAGTTTTCCTGTGCACGCATGAAGAAGTGTGTGTGCATATGAAAGCTTGATTTATTTTTAGCGAGTTTGTATCATTTAGCAAGTGTCTATTGTCTTCAGAGCCTCCTGAATGGCTAGAAATAATTTAAGTTTTAAAAACCTAATGACTTGTACTTTTGCTGTTCACACAGAAGGCTTGGTCACTCTGCACCTCCCCGTACAATTCCCTGCAGAAGGTCTAGGGAAGTTGACCATGTTTTTAAGCTCTACACCAGTTCATCTCTAGGCTGTACACATACAATAAGCAGAGTATGAAGCAGCATTTTAAAACTTCAAGCCTAGACTGTGTCAGCTAGTAAATGGTTCACTGCCATAAAATAATCTAGAAGGAGACATTTGCACAATATTAAACCCCATCTTAAAAACCATACAGTTCAGTAAAGATTCCTTGGATGGCTTTAAAGTGATGCCCTGCAATTCAGAGTTGCCATGGCATCAGCTATACAAGGCTCCAGCTAAGGACACAAAATGTCTCTTTCCTACAGGCAGTTATGGGAAGTTAGCAAGTTTGGATAAGAACCAAGTATGCTTTGGCTCTGCAGTGGACCTAATTTATCATCATTTGGACATTCCAGTGGTTAGCTAAACCAAGAAAGCAGAACAACTGGCAGTTTATAACATCAAGCAAAGTAAAGCTCCAAATGTATTGCCAAAGCTATAGGCTTGCATGACATACTGACAACAATTTTCACATTTTTTACCATTTGTTTTCTCTTATTATAACAACTGTATATAAGTATCACGACACCCATTTTTTCCCACTACTGATAGTCGAATCATAACAATTAGGGAAGTCTCAGAATAGTTCTGTATTTGGCAGCAAAAACCGCAATCAACACTTCAGAGGAAATTCTGAAGGATATAAGATACCGTATTTATTTCCTTTTCTACCACAAGCTGGCTATTATGCCATGGTTTTATTTTTATTTTTAAAAAAAGACACACAAAGAGTTTTTGCCTGACAAACAAACTTCACAAACAATTGACATTCACCGTCTAGTCCACTCACAAGACTTTTGTGACTGGATGGGTAAGTCACATTTAAAAATACTGTAATGAGCGCCTTCCTAGCACTTGCAAATTCTTTGCCTCCTAGCAATCAAAAGAGCCCTGCAGTTAGAAAGAAATGTCAACTGCCCCATTAGCAAAGCAGTAACACGCTACCTTTTGCCAAGCAGAAAAGTCTCCTTTCCAAGTATATTCCTGAAGTGCCATTTTAGCCTCTGCCACATGGCAGAAAAGAAATGGGAAAAACAGCAGCAATCAGAACTCCCTTCTTCCCATCTCTAATAACCTCACAACTATAAGTGCGCCACCAACACTAGATGCAATTATTTCCTGCTCATTTGTCAGTTATCCACCCAAAGGACGTCAACGAGGAGAGCAGTTACTCCACCTAACAAAAAACAGTAAGAGAGCACCATCTGTATACCATGGGAACATATTCTTTTACATGTGTTAATGTTAGGACTGGTATGGCACCAGCAGCAACTGGTTATATATTAAGAACTAGGCCTGTTTACACATGCAGGACAAAGAGGTAGGAGAATACTGGGGTGCTAGTGCGGAATGCACCATTTCTGGCTACAAATATGGGATTCACAGTTCTGAATGTTCCTTCATGTAAAAAAGTAATAAAAATCTATACAAATGGAGAATATTCTACCCCCTTTCTTTGTTTGCTGATAGTCTTCTTGGGCCCCGGGCATACGGGCCGGCTGAAACGCGGCTACTCCGAGCCGCTCCAAACTTGCTACGCCGCGGCGGGATCCCACGGATCCCCTAGCCGCGGCGCAGCACTCCCTGGCACGCTCAGATGCCGGGGAGGAAAAGTCCGAGGGGAGGGGGGAGGCTGCCGAACTGCGCATGCTCGGGCATGCGCAGTACGGCTGGGGGCCGGGATGCGGCGGCGCAAGGACGCGCCGCCGATCCCACAGCCCTGCCTGCGCCGCAGCAGTGGTTGCACCCACCTAGAGAGGTGGTTGTTTTTTGCGGCGCGGTATGGGCCGTTGGAACGGATCGGGGACGGAGACGGCACGCTCGCCAGATGTTGAGGTGAGATCGCGCCTGTTTGCTCCGCCCCGGTTCCGTCCCGCTCCCGGCCCAAATGGGCTCGTATGGACGGGGCCTTGCAAGGGGAAAATTCCAAAGTATAATCTTCCACTTGTACTCAACAAATTGACCCGATGCATTCTACCACTTCATTCTCCCACATCTCAACCCCGTCAAAAAAAATATATATAATTGGATTGATAGGAAGTGGCACACTGAACTATGCCATCTTCAAGACAGAGAAAATACTCACCTTACAAATTGCTGATTACTTCTGATACACTATTGTTATGCTTATGCCCAGGCTATGTTGGTACTTTTAAAAAACTGTTAGGATATAAACCTTCTGTGGTAAGGCTGTCTGTCCCTCTTCTTCTAGCAGATACAAAGGATATGCTGTTATCATTTTTTTTAAAAAGGATCAAAGTAGCTTGCAAAAAAGTGTAAACCTATCACATAGATTTTCACCAATCACTATTGAGTAGCATGAGAGAAATAAGCACAGGTCAGACCAGGCCCAGAAGAATCATAGGGACTGATTTGGAAGCACCTAACTCAAAATAACTGCATGTCCAAACTGCATGCCACAAGCAGAAAACAAGAATAAGCAAAGGGAGAGAATGGAGAGATACTGGAACTCCACTTTTCAAAAGAGCACACCCCAATAAGTCAAGCAAATGAGCTGTTCCATGTGTAGGACAAGGGAAAAAGGAATGTGCAACACAGAAGAAAGAAATAACTCTGGATCACTTCCTAGCTCAGAGCTCTAATTTTAAAGCAGTAATTACCTGAGAAAGTGACTAATCTTGAATATTCCTTCACATACTGTCCCATAACATTTCCCCACCCTTTTCTGGGCAGTTCCTCTATCACACTCAACCTTTCTAACTGTTAAGAGCCAAGCCATCCAAGGCAGGAACATGCCATCTAACTCTGTAGCCTTTTTAACCTCCCACATCAGATTCCTCACAAAAACAAAACAAACCTGGTGTCCTCGAGTGGGGGGGGGGCACCAAAAGAAATCCATTGTGTTTTGATCAGGTTCCTTTAATGCCAACAAACATTCGCATTTAGCTGGAGAAAGACTCTAATGCACCTGTCACCCCTCACCAAATCCCTAACTGCCAAAATAATTTGTCTTGTTCTAGAACATTGCCATTGGGAAATAGCATTTACATGTGACATTTCCTTCTCTGGTCCTCTAGGTGTAATCTCTTGATGGCATCAACAAGCTTTGGTTCCTCCAAGTATGTTGACTACTTCCTCTCAAAAGGTGGGAAAACACAGGCCAAGCCACCACCACCAATGTTTATTTCCAAAGAGAAAACTGCAGGGCATAAACCTGGCAGGAAATTACACTTTCTTCCTCTTACCTAATCCCAGATGCTTTTGCTGTTACTCCATGTGGAGGTAAATACATTCCACATGCTCAGAGGCCCTCTGCAAACGGTTTCCAAATTTCAGTGTTCCGTTAGAATGAAAATTTACTCGTTAGAATTAAACCACGCTTCTGTTCTCCCTGGGAGCCCGCAGACAACACTAGACTCCCACTGATGCCATTTATATGCAAAAAAACAAGTGCCAAATACTTATGTGTCAAGTATTAAAAGTATGGGTCACATAATCATACACGATTTTCTCTCTATACACAAATGTCTATTCGGAAACATCTGAGACGACCCTCAGAAGGTTTCCATCTCTGAGTGCCAAAGGCACACTGAACACCACATATCCATTAATTCCCCTCAGATCCTCGCAGGCATCTTTTAGGACTCTGACCAGCCTCAGAAGCTCCAGTCTGACCCCAGCCTTCCTCCACCTCCACCCCCACCCCAAGCAGCGGACCCATTTTCTAAGGTCACTCAATGCAATGCAACACCCCCTGGCTGCAACGTATATATTCCAGACAGTCTCACTCCTCCTGGCTCCCGGGGAGGGGGCAGACATGACTGCAAACACTCCTTACCCCACACCTCTCGCAGGCCCCGGGAAGCTCCCCCCGCCCCCCTCCCGAGGGCATTCGGCCCCAGAGCGACCTTCCCCCCTAGCAAACGCCCCCGGGCACTCCTCTTTGCGCCCAGCGGGGGTCCCACCCACCCAGCCACGGGCGCGCTGCTGAGGAGAAACTGTGCAGCGCGCCGAGGGAGGCAGACATGCCCATGCACATTCCCCAGGCAGAAACTTCGGCTCACACTTTGTTTCCACCCAGGGAAGAAAGCGGGGCGAAGTCCCCTTGTGAGCGCCCACGCGCAAGACAGCCGGGCGGGGTGCCAGCGCGACCACCTCCTCCTCCCCGGAGAGCGGGCACTTACCCGCCGTCGCTGGGAGTCCGGCGCCTTCAGGGCGCCTTCAGGGTCTCTCGGTGTGTGTCCCGAGCGGGACTCTCCTCGCAGCGCCAGCCAGGCAAAGCAGGCAGGATGAGCTCATTGGAAGCAGGCGGCAGCAGTCCCCGCCTTCCGCATTTCTCCCTCAGGCCGCCTTCCCAGAGCAGCCGAGCTCACGCGGGTGTGTCTGGTCTGAAGGGCTGGTCTGGGTTGGGCTGGGCTGGGCTTAGAGCCCGCCTAGGCTCGACCCGAGACCCTATTGGGCGCGCCTGACCCACTGTGGCAAGCCCTTCCTTTTTCTTTTTCTCTCTCTCTGTTTGCAACCTCCCCCCCCCCCTTCCCGTGACTGACCCAAGTTCCTGTTGCTTGGAAAGGAGGCAAAAACCATCTGGGACCAATTAGCTGAAAGGGGCTCAGCAGGATTGCCGGGCGAGCCAGGCAGAGGGACTCGGCCTTTGGCTTTCCCTCCTCCCTTTGCAGGATCAAGCTAGAAGTCAAAGGGGAGAAAAAGGGGGCATGACATTCAAATGGACAAGGGAGCTGCCTGGAGTCAACGAGCGGAAGCGGGGGGTGGGGGTGGGGGTGGCGAGGAGAGATACAGCTTTACACAGACTGACCGACCTGTGACACTCAGTGTTTTACACGTATTGCTTGTGTTCCTGCTTCGAAGCGGTTCGTGTGGAGTTTATAGCAACGGAGCATGTATTTGTGAAACGAGTACCTGCGCTGCTTGTGTTGCAACCCGTTAATGTGGCTTGCATTATTCTACAGGCATAGTTCACCGCTTCAGTCAATCACAAGTTTAGTTTTGTTTTTTTTACCTGAGGGGTTTAGAGTATCATGGGAGTGTGAAATTGTTGGGATTTAAAAATCAAGGAGATTCTCAGAGGTATTCTTGATATATAATCCAAAAATAAAAATCTTTGTTGAAGGAAGAATCTTCAAGCCTTGTCATAAAATTCAGTGCTGATGGGTAATAGTCTGTCTTGAAGTGATTGGGGGGTGGGGTTCTTTCTCCAAATAAAAATATTTTGATTCACTTTTTAATGTTCAGATAAAACTCTTATTGAAAAATTATTCACACAACTTGAACTTTCCAAATATTCAAAGCCCACTTCATTTTATATATTTTTTTCTTATCATTTTACAGATTTTTTAAGAAGGTAAATTTGCAGGATTTATTTGGATGCATTGTTATTTATCTTTACAGTAATGGGAACAACATTACTGTTTCAATATTACTTGGAGAACTCAAAATGTTTGTCAGAATGATATCATTATGATAATCTCAGGGAGTTGATACTAACCTATGACTCACAGCTTCCAACACTGCTACTTCAGAAAAAAAAACACTATATACAGAACTCCAACATTTTGGAAGATTTGTAAAAATTAAATTGAGCTCACTTGCTCTTTTTGCTTTAATAATTTGTTTTTTTTAACATAATACAATTCTGGATATTTTAGGAATATTGAACTGAGATGTTTAGCTTTTGACTGAGAATTGCACAGTTCCATTGTCACTATTTGCTTCAGAATAATAAATATAAGATTAAGTTACAGGTTTTAATCTCACAGTACAGCCTTAGCATTCTTTCATTATTGCCCTTTGTTAAAGGTTACCAGGTAGGGCTTGGGGAGTTCTCTCAGAATTACAATTACACATATAACTAAATGTTATATGTGACCCATGTCAGGTCAGAATACATGTAATATCTGGAAAGTAGCACTGCAGAGCCTGCTTCTACTCACAAGTGCAGCACAAAGGAAGAAGGGTCAGCCTTCCCTCCTGAACCATTTTCCCAAGCCAAAATGACTGGGGGAGGCCCCAAATGCACATTTCCCCTTATTTAAAGTGAATTCAGGATCCCCCCCCCACGCCGAGAACTGGCAGTCTTCACATTCTGAGATATGCTAAAGCTAGAAATTATAATATACTGTAACAATAGGGAAATCTATGTGTGAATTGGTTTTTAGAGGCCACCCTCTGGCCCCCCATGACAGACCCTCTCCCAAAGAGGAATTTCTGGGGCACACAGATCCTTCTTTCCCTGACTCCGCTACTCCGGCCTGGAGCCAGAGCTGCCATATTTTCCTTGGCCCTATTCCTTCCTCTCTTAAGAAGGCACCACTGAAGCTGGTGCCTGCTTCCTAGATTTTGCCTGGCTCCCACCCTCCTGTTCCCAATACTCTGCTGCCAAACAGCTGGTTGACAAACAGAGGTTCCTTAAAGAGTCAAGCATCTCCAGTCAGTAGTTGGCAGGGACCATTCCTCATCGTGGCTACCTGAACAAGTCCCTGAGGTGCATGGCTTAAATGAGGGCTGCTCCATCCCCTACAAGTGGTATCCCATGTTTTTATAATGCAGTGTCTTCAGTATCCCTGAGGGGAGGGGCCATGGCTCAGTGGTAGACCATCGGTTTTGCATGCAGAAGGTCCTGGGTTCAATCCCCGACATCTCCACTTGAAAGGACCATGCAGTTGGTGAGAGTCTGGAGAGCCACTGCCAGTCTGAGTGGACAATACTAAACTTGATGGACAGATGGTCTGATTTAGTACAAGGCAGTTTCACGAGTGTTCCCACCTTAAATTATCCTTAACCATTGAGGCCTAAAGGTGTCACCAGCAAGTAATGTAATTAAAACATTGGTACAGTTTCATTATGCAGATAATTATTTCAACATGTGATTACTTACAAATTTAAGTCATTACTTTTAATTAAGCTTTGCATAGCCAAACAATCCTGTTAGTTGCCCGTGGATTCATATACGCTCACAAAACCAAATGCCAATGTTGCATTGTATGTGTGTAAAAGAAAAAGAAAGAAGAACTCCATTCCTGGTTATAAATCTATCACATGAGTATTACAAAATTTACATACCAACAATGATAACTACTCATTCACTTATGGGAAAGTGTCAACATGAACGTGATTCTTCAACATCACATCACATAGAACAGATTATATTTTACTCTGTCTGGGCTATTAGGGAAGGAAACACCACTGGCCATGATTTACTTATTTTTAGCATGTTTTGTGGTTGTGGCCTTATATTATCAGATGATGGTTCTTAATGAAATCAGGTAAACCAGCTTGAGCCCACATGGGAAAGGTGGGGTATAAATATTTCAGAAAGAAACACATTGGTGGTAGTAGCCTGGAAAGCAGGTGAAAAGAACCCACTACTTGGAAGTGTCTAGCTTTAGCCAGGATGTATCTATATATCTAATAGTGAAGGTGCCCCCTGGCGTGCGGATATCTAAATCGGGGGCACCTGGGGGGCAGGGAGATTTTTGTGCACACTTGGGACGGTCCCCAGGTGTGCACAAAAATCTGAAACTCTTTAAAAAATGTCGGGGGATACTTAAATCCCCCCGAAACTGACAGAGCGTCCCCTGCGCATGCACAGGGAATGCTCTGCAAACACCCTCGGCGGCGGCGCCGTGGGGGGGGGAGAGAGCTCGCTTTGGAGCTGGGGTGGGGAGGAGAGCAGCGAGGGCCAAGCGGCAAACCGCTCGGCCCTCGCTTCGGTGCCGGGATGGGGGGGAGAGAGAGGAGCGAGGAGCCGGGGGGGAGAGGCAATGGGGGGAGATCAAGGGGGTGGAGGAGACGGGGGAACCGGCGGGATGGGGGGGTACTTACCTCCTTCTCCTGCTTCCTCCTCTGCCTCCCCCCCCCGCGAGTATCGCGGGTCCACCCCTTGTCTATTATATTTATATCCTGCCCTTCTTCCAGATATCTCAACTGTTATTCCTAGGTTTCCATCCTCCCCTTGTTTATCTTCACAGTAACCCTGTTGGGTAGCTTAGGTGAGAGCTGTACCATATGCCTAATAAAGGTTCTGTACTACTGCTTAGGTGAGAGAAAATGATTCATCAAGCAAGGATTTTGAACTCAGGGCTATGCAGGCCAAAGTCTAGCACTCAGTCCATTGCATGACAATTTCTGTCTATACCTAAGAATGTAAGTGACACAGTCTGTATACCAGTGACACAATCTGTAGTCTACCTATCAACAAAGCCACCTTAAATCCATTATGTCAGTCTTTGGGCAGTCTATGTGAAGACTAATGTGTAATATGATCGTGCGATGCTTTCACTCTGAATGAGCTGCAGGGTAGAAGGAAAGTATTGCTACAAGCAGTTTGGGATTACAGTTCCAGAATAACAAAATGAGTGTCTGTTTACAGGATCATCTACCTTGTCTAAGGACCCTCTGAGTTGCTTACATAATAAGAGGTTGAATCAGAATGGAAAGAGACATGGCAATCCCTGATAAGATTAAAAGCTCCTGACTGGTCTTCCTTTCATGCTGTGCTAATAGATCATGTATAAACAGTAGAAGAGCAGTTATCTGTCATGGAGAAAGTTTACATGTCCCTAGACCAATGAGCGGCCCAAAGGGGTGTGTCTGAAATGCTTTGGAATCTCTTGTTCATGCAGGCAGCAGACAGGTACATCAGGATAACAACCCTACATTGAAACAAAAACAGAATCTTGGGGCATCTCAAAGAGTATCAGTTTTATTGAAGTGTAAGCTTTTCAGGGGCTAGAGTTTACTTTGTCAAATGCATGAAGCGAAGTCTGAGTCTGCAGAATTATATATAGGGTGGGAGCGGAGTTGTGAACAACGGTTAAATGGCTATGAAATACAGGAGATATCAGTCATGTTTTTAATGCAAAACACAAAAGCAAACACAATAAGCATAGCTGCTTAGTTATGGTAAGCTGCTTAACACTTGTGAAGGCTAAGAATCAATACTATCAAGCCTGTCAATAAATTCTTGTTTTGCACTGGAATCTCCCTTTGGTGAGTGTCAGCTGACTATCCTAGCAGATGGAAATCTTTTGCCACAGGATTCTGACTTTGGCCTTTTTAATGTCTAATTTGACCGGAGGCTCACTATTCTTCAACAGAGGAACAATGGGAAGCTGCAGAATTAGAACGTAACAATACATTTGTTTGATTTATTTATTTTGCTTCATTTATACCCTGCCTTTCTCTCCAATAGGGACCCAAA